TAGCCAAAAACAACCCATAAAAATGATAAATGAAAAAGGAGAAACACCCTAATTAATCTATTACAACTTGTGAGCAATTACATCAATATGGTAAAAATAAATAAAGCGCGAGCGAATAGAGAATGAAAGGGAATTAGGGTTTTGACCCCATCTAACCTAATTAAAAGAAAAAATTATTTTTGTTGTTTTTGTGAATTTTTAAGAAAAAAGAATAAGGTTTTTAAATTAAATGCAAAATGAATTAGTAATTAAATTAATTTAAAGAAAATAATTTACATGGCCTATTTTTTGTATTTTTGGTTATTTTTGAGAAAAAAGAAAATATAATTAAGTTAGAAACAAAAACCCTAATTGTTCTAATTAATTTTAATTTATTTACAAAAATAATTAAAATTACCCTAAAATTAAAAAAACTAATTAAATTAATTTTTGTATAAAAAATAAATTCTAAATCTAATTGGGTGAAAATATTATTTTTTGTGATTTTTTGATAAAAAGAAAAATTAATTTGTGTTAGTAAAAATAAATTAAATAAATCAATTAAGAAATATAAAAAGAAAATAAAATGGGCCTGAGAAAGTAATTTGAGGGAGTGTGGATAGCAATTTTCTGGGCCCAAAACAAGTGATCCACGTTGACTTCCATGCTCCCACGCTTTGCATTGACCAAGGCCTATGATGGTCCTTCATATGATAACCTTCAGATCTGGCTTCCAGGAGATCCATTGGTTGGATCCTGAGGTCACATGGTGGTCTCTTGGCTTGTGTGCACGCTTGATCACCTGAATGAAAATAACAAGAAATAATAGGGGGGACCTGGGATTCGAACCCAGGCCCCAAAGCCTTTTCCAATCACATGGCTACCAATTGTGCTGCTTGTTCTCTTTGTATACAAAATAAACAATAATCATTTTATTAAAAATGAACGAAATAAATAAATATTCGCGCGAAAATTCAAATGGACGAGTAGGGTGATGCCACGCCATCATCCCTGTCCTCTCTCTGTGGCTAAAAGGTTTGAAGACCTTTACCTACGGACAACGTCAGTCACTACAAACCCTGTAATTCTCAAAATCAAACACGAGCAAGATAAATAAAATCTAAGGCCATGAGTCAACTCGTCTTGGCCTGCTGAGCACGATGGTGCCCTTCTTGTGGGCCAATTTCACCTGTACACAAAGATCCCAAATCGAGCCAACAAAACCTAACAATGGTGAATTCTGATATGGTCCACAAAAATGCAATTAAATGATATAGATAGCTTGCAAATGTGTTAAGGAACAAGAATATACTATTAGAACATGATGAATGTGCAAGAATAACAAGATTCACTTTTGGAAATATGGGCAAACAGTGGGAGTCGTGGGGACGGATTCTGGGCACTAGTGCGCTTGTTTTCGATTGGTACTGCTTGCTTGCACTCCTAGGAAGTGAATGAGATGGTCAGGAAGCCTTGTAATTTCCTGGAAGTGTGAAATCGAGTCTGCACTTTTTTGTGATTTTTCCATGTTTGGTTCTTGTTCTTGGAGGCAGCTCTGCACGAAAATTCTTCTGTTTAGGGTTACCTCATCTTCAGCATAAGTAGTGAATCATATTAGGTTAATCATTTTTTGCCATGATCTTGAGAATTCATGAAGGGGATATTTGATCTTTAAGCCATAAGAAATCTTTCCATAATCATGCAAATCATGCCCTTTTTCCTTGATTCAAATTTGATTGATTAGGCCAGCTCTTTTGGATTTGATTTTCATCAAAATCATATCTTTAAAACAAATCTTGGTATTTTTTATTATTTATTTTATTTAAAATGATTTTTATTAAATAAAAACCATAATAAAATAAATAAATGGAGAAAATAATATTTTGTGGCTTCGTTGGGTCGTGGACCATATTACCAACTCAAAACAAATGCAAAAGATTAGGCCCATTTAACAACAATTCCAATTTGAGGCATAGTTGACTTTTGACAATTTTGCAAAAAGGGTTAACTTCACCAATGCATAACTTCCTTAATTTTGACTCTTTGAAGGTGTTCTTGGACTTTTTAGAAAGCTTGATATGTCCTCTAAGCAACCCTTTTGGTCTCATATCAATTTGGTATTCCATGTTTACGTATGAAGCTTTTACAAAAAAAGTGTTTTTGTTGACTTTTCAAAATGACCTATAATGTCAAAATTCATAACTTCTTGTGAGTGCATATTTTTAACTTGGGAGCTGAAGATGAATTGTGTAGAATTGCATCCTCTTCAAAATGAGATTTGGATGGGTCATTTCTCAAAAAGTATGAGAAAGTTATGCTTGGTCAAAGTTGAATTGACTTTTCCTACAAAACCCTAATTTAGCAACTTTTTGTTCTTGATGAATTATGAGAAATCCTTGATGAATCATGATCAACCCTTGATCAAATGATTAATAATACTTCAAAATGAGGATGTTGACCAAAAATATTGAAGTTTGACTGTATGTGGGCAACAATTGACTTTTGCCCTAACACAGTCGATTTTCAAGCCTTTGAGCAATTGACTGAGCAAACTTCCTCTGCAAGGCTTGAAACTTGACATGGATGATCTTGAGAACATATTATGACGAAGGTGAGCATTTGGGATCCCTTGGGATCAAGTATCTTGATGCAACATGAAACCCTAATTTGAGGTAGACTGCCTTTAGGAGAGGGCTTGTCTGGTCCACCCTTGGACTTCCTTGAGCAATTTGAAGACCTTACTTGAAATGTATTGAGAAATATGGGAGGGCAAATTTTGGGGTACAACAATCCCGAAGGAAGGGGAAATATCGATAAAACCCCAAGAGGATGGATAAGATGGTCTTGCAACCAAAAGAGAGGGTACAGAAGTCGATTATACGAGGGGAAAGTATTAGCACCCCTCACATCTGTTGTACTTAACGGGATCCATTTTGATTGTTTTCTTCTAAGGGTGTCTCTATCTATAACTATACTTGCTTAAGGGGAATTAAATGGTTTTTATTAGTGTGTTCATGAGGGTCTCGCAACCCTTTGCCTACGTATCCCGTGAAGGAATCATAACATTGTAGTTCTTCTAGAAAATGTTGGTTTGTTGGTGTTTTTTAGTGGGCGACGTTAACGCACGCATTCTAGCAATAGGCACGGCTTGTATCACGGTAGAACAAAGATAACATGCCCTTTTTTTATTTTTGATTGTTGAGTGTTTTTGTTAAGTATGAAATGGGTTTGAATAATGATTAAGTGTTTTTGGATTTCTCTTATTAAGGAGAGAAAGTTTTAGTTTTAGATTAGGAAATATGCAATGCAATAGAAAAGTCTAAGGGAGACTAACCTTGTTCTAGCCCTAATGTTATCGTACAATGACGGCCCTAAGGTTAGGTTTGAAAGGGAAACTTTTATCTAAGTTAGCATTCATGGATAAGAACCTATTTTATAATTAATTCACATCTTGAAGATGATGAAACTATCATCCTAAGGGAGCATGTTATTCAAAGAAGAAAAAGAAAGTAAGCATCAAACAATAGGAGACAGCATTTGTGAGGAGTGATCATGCATAGTGAGGAGTGAAGTATCAAATGATGTGCAAGGGTCATGCAATATAGGTTTGGGGCTCATGGTTCAAAAGTTAAGACAAGTGAGCTAATGATAAAGATTAATTGAAAAGAGATGCAAGAATGAGAAATAAAGAGCTACGTTGATACCAAACGGAGAATGTCAATTGCCCCTTCAAATGCGTAAGCTCAAAAACTTATGGGCATTTTGCTGATGATCAACCAAATTAATACTCAAGCACACAAAGGTCGCGTCCATGATCGATCGCAAAATCATTGGCAAAAGTCATGACAAAATGAGTAGTATCATGAAAAGCATAAATGGAATTCTTGGTGTATGGGAGTTGAATCGGGTTATCATTAACCAAGGGGTGCACTTGATTAATCTCGTGAGATTAGGTTCTCCTACCCTCAACCATGAGACCTTTTATGCATGGAAACACTTGGTATATGGACCAAAGTGATTGATTCAGGTTATAATTAATCAAGGGAAAAACTTGATTAATCTCGTGAGAATGGCCATGCCCAAACTCAACTATGAGACCCTTTAAGAAAAGCTTGGTATGTGGACCAAGGAGAGAGAGTGGGAATTCGCTTCAATTCATAAGATAGAAATTAAGATCCCATACAAGGTGTCCATATGCATGCTCATAAAAGTGGGACTAGTGTGGCGCTAGTATTCTAAACGACCGATTGGAATAACCGATCGAATAGTTGTCACTGTAGAAAAGCCCGGGACCAAACTATGAATGTGTGCAAGTATGCATTTGTATGTGGATACCTTTTCATTGATGATGAGCCCAAGAGGAGGCCGTGTGTTCTAATAGTATGGCATATAAATAAACAATAATTAAAACATACAAAGAAATAAAGTTCTAAGCTATTAAAAACCATATGGGGATGGGGGTACAAATTTATGAATTGGGATGTATCGAGTCGAAAGTCCGATTAAAAAGTCAAAATAAACAAACAATACAACCCAATCAAAATTAACTTAAATAAATAACTAAATTAAATAATCCTATTTAGTATAATTAATTAATAAATTAATTAACAATATCAAATAACATTTCTCAATTTAATTGATTATTTAAAACAAATGATATTTTTGTATTTTTTTTATTTGATAAAATAACTAAACAAAACAATACAAAAAAAATTATAAAGAAAAAAAAAGAAATAACTAATGGGCCTGAAATCAGAAGTAGGCAGGGGGTGTGAAGAGCAGCAAGAAGTCTAGGCCCAAATAAAGGGTGTCCAGCAACCCAGTGTGACAAGGAAGCGAGGGTGCATGGTGGGAGCGAGCTTCTGAGGCATCAGATACTGATGATGATGATCTGATGGTGAGGAAGTCTACAGGTGCATAATAAGATCTGTGGGAAGGCGCACAAGAAGTACCATCTTATGTTATCTCTTCCAGTGCGAACAAGTGCTACCGGAGACACACTTGTCACCCACCGGTGACCATACAATCTCACTAATCATATAATCTTTATTAAGTATAACAATAATTTAAAACAAAAAAAAATTGGACTAAGAAGCCCATACCACGAATTAATCAGAAGCCAAAATAATAAATTAAACCTAAATTTAATGTTAAACCTATGCTCTCTCTCGATGTTACCATTCCTTCATCTCTCTCATCTCATTATTCTTTTTCTCTTTGTCATTATCTTCTGTACATCTTACTCTCGCTCTTGCGATCTAGTTTCCTGCAATCCTTATTTCTCTATGATTCAATCATTAGCAACGATAAAGGGTGGTGGTTGAAAAGAAGTCGTGCAGTGGAAAACGAAGAAGTCGCCGCGCTGGAAATTTTCTCACGATGGCGACAGCGGCGAAGATTCGTGAATCGGACCCGATATAAAATCTATTTATGTTAATCTCCTTCTATCTTTTTCCTAATCACTGATTTGTTATTTTATTTCATAGGAAACGCACGGTTGGACCTTGATCTAAAAGGGGAAAATTGAAAGCCTAGTTCTCAGATGCACCAATATTCAATGATTATTATGAGAGATACAACAATAAGATATGAAAATGAAGGGAGAGGAGAAGGAATCTGATTCATGATGTCTGAATCTGTGAGTGTTTATATCAACCTCTTAAGGTTTCTAGTGAGATCTTTCTGATTTCCTTTGAACTCGTATATTCTTCTTGTATCTCTTTGTTTGAACTTCGATTTTACGTTTTCTGAAGGGATCTTGAATATATGAAAATGATGATGATATTAGGGTTTTGTTGTTGCAGATGTGCAATATCTGTGTTGAATGTGAACAGTTTTGTATATTTTGAAGGGGTTTTTTGGTATTGAGGAAGATAATGAACACAATTTTTAGGGTTTTCGTTTGCCTCTGTCGCCCTTGCTGCCTTGTGTGTTTTTTTGAACCGTCTTCCCTCTCTCTATCATTCTGCTATATGTATTTTCCTGTCTTCTCCCGAAAATAAACGTTTTGGGGGAAAAAAGGTTTTGAACACTTTGATACTCTGTTTTGTTACTTTCTTGATGCAGTTTTTGTTAACTATTTTTATGCAATGTTGCAGCAAGTTTTGGACTGTTATGTTCGATATTTGGTTGTAGTATGGACAGCAATAACACAGCAGGGTCACAACTTTAGTGCAACAAGTTTTTGTTACATGATTTTGGATTATTTTACAGCCAGTTGAAGCAGGGAGGCATGTTTGGTTTTACATTAAAGTAGATTGTTTTATAGGGCAGGCTGTTTGTAGCAAGGCTGAATTTTTGACAATGTTTTATTGATTTAGTTACTGCAGTAACTTTACCCTTTTAAGTTTGTCTTATTGTGAACCAAACCTGTTTTTGTGATTTGCAATAGGAATACTCTTGGGACAATGATTTTACTCTTGAATCTGATTTTGTTTGCAAGCTAATGAGGCTTTTGTTGGGCTTTGGCATATAATTGAATTCAAACCCCCTATGTTCTGATTCCTTCACAAAATCCCTAATGATGAGGTTAGAAGAAAACTTTTAGTGTGAAAACTTGTTCTTATTTATGTTTTAATGATGATTGTTCTAACCAATTCCTTGTTTGTTTTCATGTGATGTTGATGGAAGGTGAAGAAGGCAAGGCAAGGTTGAAGAAGGGATCGTGGATAACATGAAGCTTGGAAGGGAGTTTGAATAAGATGAATATCTTATTGATGTTTCGTCCCATACAAACTCATAGAATAGTTTAGGATTTAGATTCTTCTTTCTTTGGTTTTTTTTTGTCTTGTAAAGAAAAAATTAAGTGTACTTGTAAATGATGAATGATATTTTTGTATATTTGAATGAAACTTGAATGAAACTTATCTTTGAAATTGAACTTGAATGATGATGAATTTGTGAACTTTTGACAACCATTGAATGAAGAAATTTGGATAATAATGCGTTTAAACATGTCATGATAATTCTTGAATCTTGAATGAGCTTTTAATGATCCTAATGTTTGAATGCAACCTTGAAATTTTTGAATGACTGTGAATGCAAACTCCTTCACTTTGAATATACATCCCTTTCCTTTTATTCTTGGTATTCAAACATGAAGTTGTAATATGGATAATCTTGTTGAACTCAAATTTAAGATGAATATGCCTTGTGATTTAAATTAGGAATGTGCCTTGTAAAAGCCTTGTAACTTGTGACTTAGCTTATTTGAATCTTAAGAAATTTTGAACACATTTAGAAGTTTGAATAAATACTCCTTAACATTGAATTCAAATAAATTCCTACTTCTAAAATAAACCCTAATTCAATCAATAAACCAATTTACTCGCATTGATAGCGACAAACAAAAGTTTTGATCACCACTGCACTTTTTGCGTCATGATTAGATAATTAACATCATAATATTGCCTTGAAGAAACCTCAAAAAATGCATATGGAAATATGTATGACCAAGAGAACTTTGTCATGAGGATCTAATAAGTCTCAATCGGTGAATATTGACAATTCAAACTCCATGGGGAAGAAATCCTAATCTCCCTTGAGATGTGGCTTGACATCAAAACCCTAAACCAATTTAATGAGATGTATCTCAATTCACAAACCACAAAGCAGACCTTCATCCATGAATTCAAGCCTTTGAAAATAAGTCCAAGAAGTTATGATGACATGACTTCGTAATGCAAGCAAACTCAGCTGGAAACCCTAGTATTTTGACCTTGATGAATGTGAATGAAGAATAGCCCCTGTATCTTGATGGGAAGAAATCCATAATAACCCTGAACCAAGAAACCTAATTCACACTATCCACTGCTCCAGGAAAAACCATAGAAATCAACCTCAGAATGTAGAAGCCTCAAACCAAATTTAAACCATAGTCGGCACAACCATTGATGATTTGAACCACTGCCTTGTTGAATGAAGGAATGATGTGTGATTCACCTAATGAAAATGAAGCAAATGAAATTCAAATACTAAGCCAAATAAAATTTAAAAGGTAGGACAAATTTGGGGTATGACACATGGAAAAGTAGTTAGCCTAACCATGTCGGATGATGCTTTGGTTAAGACCAAGTTCATCAGATCTTACCCTGGGAACATTTGGATGAAGTTCACAAACAACTTCAAGAAGATCCTCAAAACCACGAAAGGTTTTAGATGCCAAAATAAGAGGATAGAGATCTTTTAGGAAATGAGAAAAAAAGATTAAGAGACTTTATGATGAGGCTTTTAAGGTATCGAAGAGAGCAAAAACTGACAGGTTTTGAATTATGAGAGGATAGTTGGAGGTATTTAGACTGACAGCATAGAGAGTGAAAGCTTTTGTGGAAGGATGTATCTATAAGTTTCAAGGCACATGACAGATGATACACGGATACCTAGAGATAATAGATATAGGCACTAGAGCATTTAGGAGGGAGACTACTACACGTGTGGGATTAATTAATGATTTTTAGATGAACCCTTTTTATTTTTTCACATTTTTATGAGTTATAACTTCTCTAGTCAGGGGTTAAGAGAATGCTAACAGAGAACCTAATATTTCACGATGAAAAAGAAATGACATATATTAACTGAAACAAACGATCTTTCCTGACAAGGATAGCTCTTAACTATTTAGAAGTATCTAGAAACATATTATTAGAAAGTGTGTAGATACTGACCTGGGTTTTCTTGTGAAGAGTTTACCTTTGAGCTTGATCTGATTCATTCCTCTTGCTGCATTCTTCTTGTATATCTGGATTCCATTCTTTGTCCTGATATTCCTTACTCTGATTCCTTTGCTTCTTGGACTTCCAACAACTTCATAATATTCAGATGGTTTCTTCTAGCTACAGTTTTCTTGTTTGTTGATCTATAGTAGATGCTTCTTGTGATACCAGTGGAAGAACCGACTGTTATACTGGTTTGTGTTTTTTTCCCGCAAATGTCACGGTAAGCAAGAGTCGCCATCAACTTTTATTTCATCCAACAAAGGAAAAGGAAAAAAGAACAGAAAAAACATTTTTCGAGATGTTTCTGAGTAATGGGGGTAGATTATAGAAAAGGAAGGTGTTAGCACCATTTCTATCCATGGTTTTCCATGGGCTCTTAGGTACTTGCTCATTTTGAAATTGCTTGTGCGTGTTTTGAAAAGTTTTTGTTTTAACTTCGTGGTAACCCTTGTATCTATCCTCAAGAGTGTGACGAAGTTGTTTTTGAAAACTGTTTTGAAAGTGTTTGTGTGAAAGAGTTTTTTATTGTTTTGAGCAAGTACTTAAGATTTTCTACCTACTCGAAAAAGGTTGTTCGTTTTCTCGTTTCCTTTAGACATCATTATCCTACTATTAAGGAGTAGGTAGCCCATCGTTGGAGTTTAAGGGACATTCGAAGGGACAAGTACAGTCATAAAAGAAATGGTTAGGAAACTTTAGTAATTACCCTAAAGTCCTAAATATCTTTCCGAGGCAACATTCGAATGGGTCATTTTGATCTTTCGGGACTAGAGGGAAACCACTAAAATTCCCTATACTTTGCGACCGTTTACCGAAGGTGTGATACGGTGGGAGAACTGACTTGAGGTTTTGCGTTTCGTTCACACTTGTGTCGTTAGCAAGAGTCGCCACCGACTTTTCTTTTATCCAAAAGGAAAGGTAAAAAAGCACAGGAAAGACCTTTCGAGAATTTTCTCGGGTTCGGGGGGTAGATTATGAAAAGGGAAGGTGTTAGCACCCTTTTCATCCATGGTTGTGATGTGGGTTTTGAAAGTATTTTGGAAAGTTTCTTTGTAATGGTTCTCGTCTTTATAAGAACATATACAAAGTTTTGTTTCGAAAAATAGTTCAAAGAGGTGTTTGTGAATCGTGTTTTGAAAAGTGTTTTGAAAAGAGTTTTTGCCATGGTTCTCGTCTCTATAAGAACGTATGCAAAACGTTTTGTCTTTTGAAAGTGTTTTGAAATGGAGGTGTAAGTGTGAAAGTTTTTTGTCGTGAGCAAGCGAGTAACTAAGAGAGAATCTATCTACTCGAAAGGTCTTAAGTTATTCTTTTCTTCTTCCTTTTAATGGTGCTATCTTACCATTGATTTGGTAAGAAGCCCCATCATTGGATGTGAAGGGACAGGCGCGGGTCAATTTTACAATCATTGAAAGCAACTTGTGAGACGCTCTAGCAATTTTGTAAGGGACAAGATCGTTTTATCAAAGGGTCATTTGCTAGAGTGTCTCATATTCGAGGGACATGATTGTATTTCTGAGGCAACAAGCAAGGTTACCCTAGAGGTGCGCGTGTGAGAAGTGTGTTGGTTTCAAGTTATTTATTCTTGTATTAGGTCATCTAGCGATTGA